CTGTGGGGGAATGATTTTGAAACATCTTCAACAATTGCTTTACCTGGGAATATGCAAGTTCTATACAGACCAAGAACTGAACTGCGGGATATCTGTTTAATGCAATCTGCTAACCACCGTCTTTACCTGATGAAAGAACTACTGCTCATTCACATGTTTTGATTGAATCCTATTTTTAAACAGTGCATTTCAGAACAAAACATCAGTCCACATGCAACTCATAACTGAAGAGGAAAACGTGAAGTCAAATGTAGGTGGTGATCTAAAAATAATTAATGGTCACAAAGAAACAGAGCAATGCAGGAATTCAATATATAAACAAAAACAGGAGTAACAGAATCCTTTCAAAATATCTTTGAAATTCAATGAAGAATTGACATCTAATATTTATTTTTGAGATCAGACACATTCCAGCATCTCAATTTCTGAGTCAGAAAGAAATTCATCAATTGCAAATTACATTTCAGACCCTTAGTCTTTACTTCTATCCGTCAATATCTAAAGAATTTTTTGGCTGCAATACTGAAAATTTCCAACAGATCTGGCATGCAAAATCCTTCTTAAGGGAGAATTACAGATGTTTGTCCTCCCCATGCAAACCTTAGTGGAAAGCTTACCAATTTCAGTTTTGCATGATCCAGCTCTAATTTAAGATCTGGGATCCCCAGGGGAAGCAATTTTGAATTCCATTACTGTTTAAAATGCCTTAATCAGATCACAGTTCAAATGGTGTAAATTCAAGAGAATACTAACCAAATTTATAAAGCCTGTCCTTTGTTACCCTGTAAGATCTGGTATCGTTTTGGGTGATTTTTCTCTTGAGATGCAGTGTTCAAAGCTGAACAGGCAACAATGCACTACTAGGGACAGGCAATAAATGCTAGCCTAGCAAAGAACACCCACATTCCATAGCAAATAAAAAAAACTCTGTACTTCAGGTTGGATCTAGTACCCTTCAGAATTGAAGCACTGCTTCCTAATGTTGATATTCCAATTAGAGTTTCATCCTTTTGATTACTTTTAGTACCGGTGTACTCATTTATATTGACTTGTGCACAGACACCCAAAATCCTTTACTACTTTATTTCAAGTTGTGTATATCTGATGCAGCTCAGATCAACACACTCTTGCCCAATTCAACACCAGCCAATATAGCTTTTCCCATTTAGTCTGTCTACTGAGTCAGTAGTCAGTCGTCAGTCAGACCTAGAGTGTCTACTGAGCTAGTTTGCAACTTTGCATTCCCATCCTACAACTTACTGAATGTCATCTGAAATTCTGGACATACTAGTCTCTACTCTTTCTTAGAAGACACACACTGTACATACGTGTACACACAAAACACACAAAAACATTATGCTCGATGCACAGTGCTGGGTAACAAAACTAACTAATTTCATCCCACAATAAAGACATGATTAGAAACAGGAAACCCACTACTTACAGCTGTATCAGGCAATAAACATTACAATGATGGAGTTTAATGATTTAATATTAATGCTATGCAGATTGCTTTAAAAAAGCCATTTAAACATGCAAAGTACATAAAATTTTAATCTCCTCTTTCTGTACCCTTCAACATGCTAAATCAGATTATAACCAGAGCCGTTAACACTGTCAGTCTGAAATGTTATGGGAGTTAGGGATTTCAAAGTAATCTCCAACTCTTTTTACATATATATCTGTATTGAAGTGTGCATCAAATTACAAGAACAGAAGTGGAACGAATTTCAATTGCCAATTTGAGAACACTTTTAATGCACTAATCTTTATTAGGTGTTATATTAACCATGATGCTTCCAGTTTCAGCACCACAAAATGCAAAGTTATTAACTGTGAAGACAGTGAAACTGGACATTGTGAAAAAAAACATTTCAAACAGTCCATTTAAAACTGTTGCCTTTTGCAAGTGCCATAAGAAACATGGTTCCCACAACAAGCTCCATTTGAAATTCTATGGCCATGGATCAACCCAGGTTTCTTTACTAGTTAGTAGCAGCAACATATTGTACCAGAGACTCCAGAGTTGGCAGGGGACGGTGGGTTGGAATTCCAGTCAACCAAAGTGGTTCTCCAGAGCACGTTCTGACAACAAGTCACAGTCACAATTTTGTTAACTATATTTCCCTCTCCAAAGATTTTTCTAGTACCTGCTTAGCATTTCCAACATTCTGGTTTTAAATCACAGGTTCTTTCCTTAGCCACTCACTTGAATAAATAAAATTTCTCAGCTGGGTCACCACATAAATATTCCTCAGTAGTCAGTTAACTGAGTTCACAATAACAACCAGCATGGTGGCGTCTCACAGTGCCAGGGACCCAGGTTTGACTCCAACCTCGGGCAACTGTCTGTGTGGAGTTTGCACATTCTCTACATGTCTGCGTGGGTTTCCTCCGGGTGCTCCAGTTTCCTCCCACATTCCAAAGATGTGCAGGTTAGGTGGATTGTCTATGCTAAATTGCCCACAGTGTCTAGGGCAGGAAATGCAGGGACAGGGTAGTGGTTGGATCTGGGTGGGATGGTCTTCGGAGGATCGGTGTGGACACGATGGGCCTAATGGCCTGCTTCCACACTGTGGGAAGCTATGATTAAACAATACTTGAAGTGATAGTAACTGCAGTAGACCTACCTACCCATCCAAGATCTATATCATGAATTTACAGCACTACAGCAGGAAATCACCCAGGAATTTAGTTTATAGCTTTAATTGAAAATTTACCTCTTTTACAAGTTCATGGTATGAAGCATCATACTACTTAAAAAAAAAAATACGCAAGAAGTTAAATGCTGTCAGCAAAAGTTAAAATAAACTGCAAACTGGAATAGTTAGTGAAAATTCCTTTCGAAAAAATAAAAGTAAGATCTGAGGACATCAGAGCAGGGTTATGCATCAATGAGCTCAGCAAGATGAGAAACTGAATTAACATGCAACAAGTTATTAACAGACATTAACTCATCGGCTTTACTGATAAACATTTTCACATTCCCACCTCCCGGTCAGCATCCCAAAGGGACCATTCTCTCCACAACAACACCTTGTTTCACTCCTCATTCACCCGTGGCACCTTGTCCCATTCCCATCCACAAATAAAATTTGAAATTATAACGAAGAACTGGGAATGCACATGGCTCCGTAAATGTTCTTTAGATGCTTAACTTGCAGTGTATTTCCAGAAAGCAGTTTTCTGCAGTTTGTTAACATAAATTCACCCAAAGAGAAATTGCTGGAATAAATTTTGTAAACAGGTAGAATGGAGGCAAAAAAGAAAATCCAATATCATTTGAATTGGCTAGCCTTGAAAAAAGATAAAAGGGGAAGGAAATAGATCCATTTAAAAGGGAAAAGACAGACTTGAAACGAGAACAATTCTGCAAGTAATGGATCCTTTTCTCTCTCCTAATGACAGCTAAAGAACATACTACTGAAAAATCTTTAATTGAATTTAGATCTGTTCATACTACACAGTTATGGCGCCAAATTCAAGGGGACACAGGTACACACCTTAACTGGATGTCTGAAAACCTGATATTGTTCTCTTAGCCATACAAAACAAGGCAAATGTAGGGAAACAAAGAATAATTGCACATTCTTTGAAACATAACATGGTTGTATGAATAATTACATAAATCACATCCCTGAAACAAATTGGTGCTGGGTCCACCGCATTTCGTCATTTATATAAATGATTTGGATGTGAACATAGGTGGTATGGTTAATAAGTTTGCAGATGCCACCAAAATTGGTGGTGTAGCAGACAAGTGAGGAAGGTTACTTCAGAGTACAATGGGATCTTCAATAGATGGACCAATGGGCCGAGGGGTAGCAGATGGAGTTTAATTTAGATAAATGTGAGCTGTTGCATTTTGGAAAGGCAAATCAGGGCAGGATTATACATTTAAATGATAGGGTCCTGAAGAGTGTTGCTGAACAAAGGGACCTTGAACTGCAGGTTCATGGATTCCTTGAAAGCGGAGTCATAGGTAGATAGGATAGTGAATAGGGCATTTAGTATGCTTGCCTTTATTGATCAATGCATTGATTATAGGAGTTGGGAGGTCATGTTGTGGCTCTACAGGACATTGGTTAGGCCACTTTTAGAATACTGCGTGCAGTTTTGGTCTCCCTGCTATAGGAAGGATGCTGTGAAACTAGAAAGGGTTCAGAAAAGATTAACAAAAATGTTGCCAGGTTTGGAGGGTTTGAGCTATAGGGAGAAGCAGAATAGGCTGACACTACTTTCCTTGGAGCATCAGAGGCTGAGGCGTGACCTTATAGAGATTTATAAAACCATGAGGGGCATGCATAGGGTAAACAGACATGGTCTTTTCCCCAAGGTGGGTGCACGTTTAAGATGAGAGGGGAAAGATTTAGAAGGGACCTAAGGGGCAACTTTTTCAAGCAGAGGGTGGTGCATGTATGGAACGAGCTGCCAGAAGAAGTGGAGGAGGTTGACACAATTACAACATTTAAAAAGGCATTTGAATGGGTATATGAATAGCAAGGGTTTAGAGGGACATGTGCCAAATGGGACTAGATTTATTTAGGATATCTGGTCGGCATGCACGACTTGGACCAAACAGTCTGTTTCTGTGCTGTTTATCTCTATGGCTCTAAACAGTTATGAAACACTGAACAGTACTTCTGACACTCTGGCTGAGCATCTTGAATACAGGGACTAAACAAGAAGTACTCACCACTCCAAACAATATCTCATGGGTTAATGTAGATGTCCAGGAAGGACTGCCAATCTTAGAAACAAAATATGGAACAACCTCAAGCAAGTTCAGACATCTGAAACTAAAACACTATCACTGGTCTGATCTCATTTGATAGAACAGGTAATTTAAAATCTGGGAGAATCCAAAGTCTGGCATAGTCTCAGTCCCCATCTTATCAGATTTTAGATATTAGATCTGTATTTCAACAGTAAAATGTTGTTCTTTACTTTGCTTTCCTTTTAAGAAAAAGCTTTAAGAAAGTATATTCCAGAATACTCACCACCTTCTTTGTGGCAAACATGTATTTGTCTTGTAACTGAAAGTCATCAACTCCTTCCAACAGGATCTCACGTTTTTCATCAGTCTGAAAGAAGTCTATGCTTTTAATGACACTGGAGGAACCCATTGGCTCATGTCGTTCAACATAAACTGTAGTAGGCAAGTCATATGGTTCCACACCCCTGGAAAATTAAAGACCAAGTATATCTGCAGTTTCCAAATACTGAGTTAGTTCAGATGCAGAATTTGGCCTAGTAACTGACAAATGCAGTTCCATTATGAAAGACAGTCTTACAAATGAAATGTTCGCATAACCATGTTCCGAAACTCGTAAGATTAACCCACAGTAAGTCACCACAAACTACTTGCACCTTCCTCTCATCTAGCCTCTTAGCCTCAGTGAAGACATGGTGGGGACAGAGACAGAGACAGAGATATTCAATGCCATCACTTGGATAGCCCTTAAAAAGGTAGGGTATACAAAGTAGACAAAATGTTCAAAGGTCTTATCATTAATACATCTTGTCCCAGTTGCAACTTGTTCTCTGCCAAGAACAGCTAGCAAGTTTAGAAGATTCCAAGGTGCAAAGTTCTCCAGGGAAGCTATGAATTAATGACAAACTTGGCAAGAGATTACAAAGAGCCATGCCAGGCGAACCTACTCCAAAGCAAATTTTCATTAGACGTAGCAATACCATCTGGTTCACTAGATGGTCTTTTAGGGAGGGGAATCAGCTATCTTTACCGGCCCTGGCCTACATGCAATCCACAACAACATAGCTGACTTTGAACTGCCTTTTGGGCAATTGGGGATGGGCAATAAATGCAGGTCTACCTGGTGATGCCCACATTCCACGAACAAATAAAAAGGATATATCTGTACTAACTGTAGCCTTGCAACAACGTGATTGAGCCTGCAAAATCTTTGCGTTACGTGCTTCAAAAGAAATGTCAATAACATGCAGTTTGAAGCATCATACAAAAATAAATTACATAAATATGCATACCAGTAGAAAGATTTGACATGCTCTTGAATCAAAATCCAAGTTCGTCCAAAGTCATCCGATTTCCAAAGCTACAAGATAAAAGCATACTTCACATTAGACATGCAACACTCAAGAAAACCATCGAAGATCCTTAACAGGTACCCTCAATAAAAATAATGAATTGCACCATTTCAACTGTGGTGCACACATCCAAAAGATTCAAATTTCAACTTGCCCTTTTGACAGAAACAAAGCTTAGGAGACAGCGAAAAACAGTGGACAACTAAACCACTCCATTCCTACCAATAGCAATTTTAAATTTGTAGGCATCAACACATGCCCCAAGCCAAGACAGCCATTTCAAAATGTTGACTGGGCTCCAATTGACTCAAAAGGCACTGTCATTTAATCCAAGGGCTGAACCAGGAGCAATGGTGACTTTGCAACCAAGAACATCTAGATCCCAGAAAAGGATTCAAAGTAACTTTTCAACTTTATTAAGGAAGGGTCACCGGACTCAAAATGTTGCCTATTTTTTCCTTCACAGATGCTGCCAGACCTGCTGACCTATTCCAACAACTTGGTTTTTCTTCCCGATTTAAAGCACCTGCAGTTCTTTCGGTTTTTACAACTTTATTTTTTAGTTTTACAGTTTCAGTGGCTTAACAGGTGGAGGACTCACGGTTCTCCGAGTCCACAACAGAACAGTGTATCTCAGCTACTGCAGGCTTGCTTCACCTCTCCCCAGTGACTTGTACCTGCTGGGTAACCAATGGCAGACTCATTGTGTCAAATATGAATATATATTCCTCACTTCAGGAAGGCTACATGGGGGAAAAAAAAAGATTCCTTTTGTTTCTCGAAAAGTATTCAATTTTGCTTTTGAGGAGTTCAATTGCTACAGTTAAATGTACATTATATGCTTTTGTTTGCTTCTGAAAGCATTTGGATTAAATTCTAGATAATATCCATCTATTGTAAAATCACAGGATTTTACAGTACAGAAGGAGGCCATTTGACCCAGCATGTCTGTACCAGCTCTTGTACAGATACCCAACTAGTCCCTTCCTCCAGCCCTATCTCCATAGCCCTCTAAATTCATCACTTTCAAATACATATCCATATTCTTTCCACTTCAATAGTACTCCTTTGCTTCCTGGAATTCTACTTGATCAGGCTAGCATAACTGCAATCACCAACCGCCATAGGATGTAGATTTTGGCCAAAAATAACAATACCTGTTTGTTTGGATGAGAACTGTCATATCCCAGCACAAGATTCAAATCCCGACTATGCATAAGAAGATCAGTAGGACTGAATGGAATTTGGAAGCCTTGAATATCATTACAAAAGTTGAAAGTGATCCACAAGTAGTGATTTTTGATATCTGCAAACATGTACTGAGGAAACAGAAAGAAAGCTCACGTCGATGTGTATTTTTAGCTTAAACTTACTTTCATAAAATAATCACCACAAAGCAAAAATACGTTAACTGCATCAATAAGCTATTATAATGTACCGCTACAATTATTGCTAAAATGTATTTTTTATCCGCAAAAATGTCATTTCCACAAAATTGAAGTGAGCAGTCCATTAGCCATAACACTTCAGGATCAAACTTTATAATGCAACATGTTACTTTCAACATTTAAAATTGTTTCTTTGGCACAACTAGAAAAATTACATTTACATTAAAAGCCACCAGAAATACAAGAGCTCCTAAATAATTTTTAGATAAGCTATTCTACTAGTTTTTAATTGTTTCAAGTATAGAGGTTTATAAAATCATGAGGGGTATCCATATACCATATAGGTGAGTTTTCCCTAGGATGGGGAATTTCAAGACTAGGAGACTTTTTTTTAAAAGGCGAGAGGACAGAGATTTTAAAAAGACATGAGGGGCTTTATATCTTTATACACAGAGGGTGGTTCCGTGTGGAATGAACTCCGAGGAAGTGGCGGATGCAGGCACAATTACAATGTTTAAAAGATATTTGGGTAAGTACATGAAGAGAACATTTTGGAGGGATATGGACCAAGAGGAGGCAGGTGGGACTAGTTTAGTTTGGGATTATGTTCAGCATGGACTGGTTGAGCAGAAGCATCTGTTTCTGTGCTGTATGACTCTGACTCTAAGCATTAGACTGAAATCAATGTTAGACATCAACTAAAAAACACACTGGAGTAGAATAAGTGAAAATAAATTATTAATTAGGCTGGAAGATGCCTTACCAACAATAACATTTTACTGGCATTTTTGAGAGTAGACTCTGTTGAGAAGTGCTCAAGCAGAAATACCTCTATAATTACCTGTTCAGGCAGATTATTTTTATATTGTTCATATACTATTGACTACCGGGTCTATTTAAAGGCCAACAGATTGGACATCTGCATATGGTAACCTCTTTAACAGGAACTCCTAGGTGCAGATATCTTAAGTTTTGAAACAACAAGGTATTCTTCACGTTGAATAGAAAATTACGTATATGCAGTCAAACCAACATCAATCTGATATCTGAATTCAATAGTTCCATTTGAAATTTCAGTTACTAGTTTCTACCAGTTAGTATTATAGATACTATTGTACACTCAAGAATATGTTGAATATAAATATAGCAACCTTTACCACTGATAGAACACTTTCAAGCTAGTTTGAATACCTAGAAATGTCATAATCACATTTTCATTGTACACAACATAGAATGCAAGCAAATTTTCTTGTCACTTTGTAATTTAGTCATTTCAATGAATTATGTATTGAACTCTCTTAAAAGATAAAATAAAAATGTTGAAATAAATTCATGGCTTCTTTCAACATAACAAAGACCCCGTCCCACCCTGGTTATATACTCTTCAACCCTCTTCTGTCAGACTTTGAACACATGTACGAACAGATTCAAGAACAGCTTCTTCCCCGCTGTTATCAGACATTTGAACGGACCTCTCAAATGTTAATTTTGATCTTTCTCTCTGCACCTTCTCTGCAGCTGTAACACTGCATTCTGTACTGTTCTACTATTTTGATGCACTTTGTATGGTACGATCTGCCTGCACAGCGCACAAAACAACACTTTTCACTGTACCTAGGTACATGTAACAACAAATCAAACTCAAACTCACGTGACATTCCAGGAGCTACTTAAAATATTGATTAGCAGAATGAAATCAAAATACAAGACGCCCTTCTGGAGTCAACATATGATAAGAATGCACAAATAAGGTAGTGAGATACACACCATTTATGAAGGATTAGACATAAATCTACAAAAACTCAAATAAATTCATTGCAAAATTAAAATAAACTGGATTAAGGGCTAATATTTCAACATTTGAATCTTGGGTCATATTCTGTCATAGTTATACAGCACGGAAACAGATCCTTTGGTCCAACTCGTCCATGCTGACCATGTTCCCAAACTTATCTAGTCCCACCTGCCTGCATTTGGCCCACTTCTCTCCTAACCTTTCCTATTCATGTTCTTTTCCAAATGTCTTTTAAAATGTTGTAAGTGTACCTGCATCCACCACTTCCTCTAGCAGGTCATTCCACATATGAACCACACTCAGTGTAAAAAAGTTACCCCTCATGACCTGTTTAACTTTTTCTCCTTTCACCTTCAAATTTTGACACCGGAGTTTTGAACTCCCTACCTGAGGGAAAACACCTTTGGTATTCACCTTATCTATGCCCCTCTAATTTTATAAACTTCTATAAGGTCACCCTTCAACCTCCTAAATTCCTGTGAAATAAGTTCCAGCCTATCCAGCCTATTTTTATAGTTCAAACACTCCATTCTCAGCAATATCCTGGTTAAATGTTTTCTGAACCCTACCCAGCTTTTTTTTTGTTTTCTCTATTCATTCGTGTGATGAGGGCATCACTGACCAGGCAGCATTTATTGCCCATCCCTAATTGCCCACAGGGCAGTTTAGAGTCAGCCACATTGCTGTGGGTTTGGAGTCACATGTACACCAGACCAGGTAAGGATGGCAGTGTCCTTCCCTAAAGGACATTAGTGAACCAGATGGGTTTTTCCAACAATTGACAATGGATTCATGGTCATTGTCAGACTCTTAATTCCAGATATTTATTGAATTCAAAACCCACCATCTGCTGTGGTGGGATTCAAACCCAGGTCCCCAGAACATTATCTGGGTCTCTGGATTAACAGTCCAGTGAAAATACCACTAGCTTAATCCCCATCTTAATAATATCCTTCCTATAACAGGACGACTAGAATGGCCCACAGTATTCCAGAAGAGGCCTCACCAATTTTTTGTACAACCTCAACATGAGATCTCAACGCCTATACTCAAAAGGCCTGAGCAATGAAGGCAAGCATACTAAACGCCTTCTTAATCACCCTGCCTACCTGTGATGCAAATTTCGAAGAATCACATACCTGAATCCCTACATCTCTCTGCTCTATAACACTACCCAGGGCCCTCCATTAATTGTACAAGTCCTGTCCTTGTTTGTTTTACCAAAATGAAATATGTTGCATTTATCCAAAATAAACTCCCATCTGCTACTCATCAGCCTATTGATCCAATTGATCAAGATCTCTTTGTATCTTAGACAACCTTCTTCACCATCCACTATACCACCAATGTTTGTGTCATCCACAAACTTACTAAACCATGACTTTTATATAAATAATTTAGATGAGAATATAAGTGACAAACAAAAGTGGACCCAGCATTGATCCACTGGTCACAGGCTTCCAGTCCGAAAAACAATCCTCCACCACCACCTTCTGTCTCTAACCATAAAGCCAGTCGTATGTCACTTGTGCAAAATATTAAAATTTTAGGTCATAACTTGCAAACAAAGGTATTTTTCCCCACAGTTGTACAAAGTGTTTGTTGGAGTGTAATTTCAAGAAAATGTAATAACTACTGGCCAAACAAATGGCCATCTATTGCTTGTAATGCAATGTTACAGAGAAGTACTACGATAGCCACATTCTCTATTTAAATGTGTGTTTTCAGGGACAGCATTACTCTTCAAGTCCATCTTCTGAGGCTGAATTTACAACTAGCAGCCCCTGACAAAGTGAGTGCATTTTTTAAGATTAAAAAAAAAATATTGCCTCCCAGCTGGTGGCAATTACACAATCAAAGAAAGAGCACAGTACAGTGCACAACTGCACACATTCTTCATTCTCAGCAAAATGCCAAGGGAAAATTCCAACCTCAGAGAGATCTACAGGAAAGTACTTTGTTCTTCAAGATGAAAGAGTTTCAGATTTCCCTTTTCCATATTCTAAACAATGGTCCTAACTGCCTTATGTTCAATCCTCTTACATACAGGGCTGTGCCAATACGACAAACATAATTTAATACTAGACACTATAGCGTGGCTAAAAACATGGCAATCATTACCACACCTAATCAATGATTTGTATGCCTTTAACATTCCCTCTACTCATACACTAATGCCGTTCTTTATAAAACCTTCAATGACCGACTATTGTTCGGTATCAGCTTAGCCCAAATCGAGAATAAAAAAAATGGAAGGGAGAAAGAACAAATGTAAAAAGATCTGTCACTGAGCAGAAGCTAATTCTGATAATGCAGCAGCCCTTTAGTATTGGAATGAGTGACTAGAATCTGTGCTCAAGCCTCTATTGTGGTGCTCAAATCCACAACCTTCTAACCCAAAGACCAGAGTTAGGTAGCAGAAATGAAAGATACAAGGGAACATGTAGCAATTCGTAAAAATAGACAACAAAGAAAAAGAAAACAATGTCACATAGCTACTTAAGTTTACACTGGTTTATCTATGGACAATTTTTTTAAAAATTACCCACTGTTGGATCTGCAGTTCCAGATAATTCTAATTTGTCTATCCACATTCTTCAGTTTCTCACATCAAACTTTGATCACCTTTCCTTTCTGCAGAAGTTTCTCTTTTTATTCTAAATTGGTGCATCATTTTTTGCACTGTCCACTGTACAAAAAGCTGTGCTCCAATGTTTTCACGCAACAGATCAAGAGCAACAGAGTCTCCAATTCTATGCCTTCCTGACTGTCTAACCAGGATTCAGCGTATACCTATACTATGCCTCTTAATGCTACTATATCATGAACTTTGCCACAGGACTTTTTGCCAAACATTAGACAGAAACAGGTCATTCAGTCCAGTAGGACCATGTGAGTGTTTATACTTCACACGAGTTCCCTCACCTTTTTGCATCATGTGCCCCCTAACAAAATAAACTTGCTCTCTTTCTCAGTCATCTACTTATCTAGCTAGTCCATAAATGCTAGTACTTAAGTGCATCTATCTATTCACCTCACAGGGCATCGAGTTTCGTTTCTAACCACTGAATAAAAAAAAAGAGTTTCTCTTGAATTTCCTAAGAGATTTTAGTGACTGGCTAATAGTTACAGCAGATTTAACCTACCAAATCCCTTCATGATTTAAAAATAACTGCTATCAGGTCGCTCTGTGGCCTTTACTGAAGGAAACAGCCCATTAACCGCTGCATTCCAATATCTACTCTCAATTCTTCCCTCCCTTCTATATTATGGTTCCTTCCTCCAATTCCCCATTTTCCATTGCAGTCCTTCATTTTTGTTTTACAACTTGTCAATGTTCCATAACACTGCACATAGCAAATCCTGGTGAAATCAATTAGAATTAGCATACAGAAGAAGAGGAATAAACAGTAAGCAGTAGATGAACAATGAGAAGAACTGGTGGTGGCAGAGGGGTAGAGTTAGGCAGAACGCAAGGTTAAAAGCTCTGGCCCAATTTTCTACAAAGTAAGGGGGATGATTTGCAAAGGATTCTCAGTTTGTAGGAGAGGTGAAGAAGGGAAAAGGATGTTGAGAAGCAGTCATGCACTTCAGATAAATTTAGGATAACTGCAGTAAACAATTTAACTCTTACTACAGCTAAGCAATACACATTCCAGCATTTCATATGCCGCTTATCGCACTGATTCATAACACCAATAGGATTATCTTCTTGCAGCTAGCCCAAGTGTCTTACAAGGAAGTTTACATGTAGGATTCAAAACACATGAAATAACAGTCAAGAAGAAAAGACACTAATAGCTACAAACTTTCCATCAGACAGGGAGGCTGTGCTCAAGAATTGATGGAAATAAATGTTAACCCAGGTCTGGGAAATGCTTGCAGAGGAATGAAAGGAAGTCACAAGATGCAATAATAACACATCTTACAAATTCATAAGTGCTGTCACTGAACTACCAATGTAGTTCAAAATAATGGCTCAAAAACATTGGACAATATTACAAGAAATATTCCTTACCCGTTTATTATCTGCTGGACTATGGTAAAACTGAGCAATAACTGTTTGGCTTTTTGATTCATCTTCTAGCTTGAACTTCTCATTGATTTTCTTGAAGGTCTTTCCATAATTATATGAAACATACACCTGTGGCAAAGAGAAGTAGAATTACATAAAAAAGGTGACAGCATAGAGAAAGGTCACTAGGCAAACTGGTCTATGTTCCAAAGGGTTTCCTCTTAGCCCTCATCCTCCAACCCCTTCAGCAGAACCTTCCATTACCTTCTCCCTTACATGCTTACCCAGCTTCTTCTTCAGGCATCAACACTATTTGCAACAGCTATTTCCTGGAGGTAGCAAATTCCTTGTCATAGCTACAGGTCATCAACATAAAGGTCAACTCTTTGTTCTCTACAGAGACAACCTTACCTGATGAGAACTTTCAAAATGTTCTGTCTTGATATCAGCTTACCTTTATAGCTAGCTTTTTAATAGTTACTCTACTTTTATGCACTGACGTGTGACAACTAAAAGCCGTACTTGTGCAAGCTAAGAATGAACATTTACACATTTCAGTTAGGGTGTGAATATTTAGGGATACAAAATGTTGCATGTCACTCTGCTAACCCAATTTGCTAGGCAGTGAAGTAATGACAGGGAGACAGTGCACATCACTGTTTCTCTTCTGAACCTAATATACACATGTAGACCTAGGATTTTCCAGAGAATACAGTGTGCAGGCCACCATAACATCCCTCCCCCATCAAAAAATGCAATTAATTATCATCACTGAACTGACAAAGAACAATCACTGATACTCATTCACCACCAGCCCTACCCCCAACCCCCAGGGATTTTTTTTAAAAACGGTGAAACTATTAATGTTATACTTTGTTGTAGGAGATGTATCAGCATTTTTAAATCAGTATGTTCAATTCTACATTGCTGTTGAACAAACTCACTGGTTCTCTTTGGAGAAGGTTGAATAGAGATTTGATATAGGTTTAAGCATTCAATCTTGATTCACTATCTGCAATGATTGGCTTACCCTACGCAATAGTATCCTGATTGCTGGACACCTGGAGTCCCTCTGACTTGCTGCCACATTCAAAGCAGACTCTGGAATAGGAGCTATAAACAGAAAATACTGCAGAAACTCAGCAGGTGTGGCAGCATCTGTGGAGAGAGAAACAGAGTCAACATTTTGAGTACAACGTGACGTTCCTTCAGAACCAGACTCAAAACATTAACTGTTTCTCTCTCCACAGATGCTGCCAGACTGGAATTTCTCCAGCAATTGTTTTTAATTCCAATTTCGAGCACCCATTGTATTTTGCTTTTATTTACTGGGATAGGAACATGGGATTAGGAACAAGAGTAGGCCACTCAGCGACTCGAGCCCACTCGGTCACTCTATATGATCATAGGAAAGTGGGTTTGAGGTTAGCTGCTCGAGCAGCTATCTGGCACTGAACCCACAACATCCTTGAATAAATTCAATAACCAAGCCTCCATAGTTCTCTGCGAAAGAGAATTCCACAGACTAAGAGCCTTCAGAAAAAAAATATATCTTGTCCAGTGTCCCCTCGTTCTATTCTCTTCTACAAGGAGAAACATCCTCTTAAGAATCCACATCAAATCTCTTCAAGATCTTCTATGTTTTCAACAAAATTACCTCCCCATTCTTCTAAACTCCCATTAACAAAGGAACAACCCTTTTTCTTAAGCCAAGTTATTCATCCCAAGAATGGGAAAATTCACGCCAGCAAAAGGTGGACAACTGTGGTCTCCTTTCTTTGAGGGCCATTTTCCTTTGCCACAGACCACAGAAATATAAACAATTAGATATTCAAAATAATGAATTCCAAAAGCTATTGGGCTTGTAATTCACAACAGGATCATAATGTTGAGACAAGAGTGCAATTTTGCAGTAGTAACATTATCTGATCAAAGGGATATTCAGTTTCTTAACTTTAAGCAGTTCTCACACTTCCCATCCAGTGGCAATTCCTGAGCTGTTATGCTACTATATCTGGAAAGGTACAGTGTAAACAACACCCTATTCAAACTAACCAATTGGCCGCATCCTTTCTAGCAGAGAGACAAAAACAATTTAAACCACTCAAGTGAAAATAAAGGCAGCAATATTCCCATTTCGCTCAGAAGCGATCACACTAGGCAATTCTGTGCCAGTGAAGTCATAGCACAATCTAATGCTCTTCAGAATACCACACTGGAAAGCATATATCCTAACTTAGGTAGAAGAGATCAAAGTGGAAACCTTTTGAATAAGGGGTCTCCATTATGAACTATAGACATCCATGGTACAGTCGGTGAAAAGTGAAACCGGCTAGCATGCTGACCTGTTGTTGCTTCAGTTCACCAACATTATAAGCAATTCTTGGCTGACGGCCTGATTTTCTGACCCATCTCCTCCACCAAGTAATATTTTAATGGTAATTGACCAGCTAGCCCCACTAGCCATGCATGCATTCAGCATTTACATTATCCCACCAAGGCATGACACAGCCATCTCCTTTCCCCAGCAGCACCACACACACCACTTCCTCCCTCACCTCACCCCCGAGGACGTTTGCGATTTCTGTTCTGGCTTTCCTGTAGGAAAACAAAAAGAAACAAAGCACCCTTGAAAGCCCTCAAAAGGGAGATGCGGAGGCAAGCACCAAGCACCAAGCAGCAGCCAGCATCAAGACTCCCTAAAATCCCAGTGGAAGTTTCAACATTCATCAAGACGATTCATCAAGAGTACACTAAGCTTTCCACGCAAAAGCAACACATTGCAGATCCAGGAAATCTAAGTAAACGTTGGAAATACTCAGTAGGTTTGATAGCATCAAATAGTGTTAACATCTCAGGTCTATGACCTTTTAAAAGGTACAAGAATTAACAAATACAGTCAAGACAGATCCCACAAATTCATAAGTCCCAAACACACACAACTGTAGTAGTTTGGTTGCTTTGTCAGCTAAACTGCAGCATTAGTTAACATTAAACGTGCTTCTGCCTTTGTCTTCTAATTCTAACTGTGATTTCAGAGCTGTTGAAAGCCTTGTCCCTATTGCTAGGCAGAACCAAAGCTTAGCAACCCTTTGAAACTGTCCACTCATTGAACGCTGTGATTTCCACAGGCTGCTGGCCTACACAATACAAAATGGATGGGGAGAAAAAAAGATTCCACACTATGTACAGTGCCAGCCTTGTTTGATTATTCCCAATTCCCACCCATTTAAGCAATGTATTCCTATCTCAAATGTGTAAGGCCTATTCCTGCGGCCACACAAAACGTGGGTTACGTTAACTTCCCTCCTAATTGGAATTCCAATCAGTTCATCAATGACCCTACCATCCCTTCCAAAACCCTCAATTATCTTCTACATTAATCACTTACTAGCCTACTTTGACTCAAAAAAAAAATCACAAAATAAATTGTATTTAGGCAATGCCCTTTTAATGTTTTGAAACACTTCAGAGCCAGAAATGTGACTGCTCTGATGTAGGAAAGCTGCAGCCAATTTGTACACAGAGTGGTCCTACAAACAACAGCAGGTCTTAACTTAAAGAGTGGCATTGTTCAAGGGATAAACATTGAACACAACATCACATGAACAAAATAGTGTCACAGGAGCTTTTGTATTCACCCAAGGGGCAGGAAATTCAAATTTTAAGTTGAAACTAAGACTAAAAAAACCAAAGAAAAAACAAAGAAACTAAAAAAAGACAAACAAACAGGAAATGTCTGTCGTAATATCTACACATAACCTGGGGAAAGGAAGTCAAGGGGAAGGGCAAAGGAGAAAAATAAAACAGTGACGGAAAGTGAAGAAGTCAACTCTAATACCAAAATTGAAAGTAATACAGGAGTAATTCTTACATAAAGGAGCAGGAAAGCTGACATTTCGGGTCGAGACCCTTCTTCAGAAAGAAGGCCCGAAACATTAGCTTTCCTGCTGCTCTGATGATGCTTGGCCTGCTGTGTTCATCCAGCTCTACACCTTGTTATCTCAGATTCTCCAGCATCGGCAGTTCCTACTATCTCAGTAATTCTTACATAGTTTTTTTTTAAAGCATGTATAAAAGGATTTTCCGATTTTAGCTCATTTGATGCACAAGCTAGCTAATACTTGCTCAGCTGTATCATTGAAAAACAAAAAATCTCCACAGGCTACATAAGTGTAAAGATGTGTTCGTGTCTTTAAAATGAGCCCCTCAAGTTTTTCAAAAGACCCAACAGCTATCAAACTCTTTTACAGCAGAGACCCATCCATTTAACACCATCCAGTCTATGGCAAGAAAGAGACTCATCCACAGACTCATCCTGAACTCCAAAGAAAATTTTAAAAACATGTGAAGTACAAAATGGAATGAGTAAAACTAAACTAGTTTTGAAAGAAAAAGGAGCTGCCCGTGATAAAGGTCAGGAGTAAAGATGATCATGAGGTGAATATAGAATCTAGCTCAAATACTAAAACTGAGCATAGCTGTGGTAAAGCCACTTCATGCTGACATTAGTCATGATGAAAATATACAGTAATCTATGACAATTAACAGCACTTCTCTACCAAAATTTTGTTTGCACCTATGAATGTGCCACTTCCTGCATCAAAAACAAACACCAGGAACTAAATGAACTGAAAGCACCTCTACTTCACTACGTGTACTGCTTTATTGCAAAGTTTTGTTTTCAGATCAGATAACTTTCAAGATATGGGAATGTGGAAGTAATTTTTTTTTGCAGGGTATGATATTTAAAGATGAAACCTGTAGGAAAGTAACTTCTTTTGTGTAGTTTCACACATACATCAGTAGAATAGTCATACCACAAGTTGGCAATACTCTTTCCTCACCTCCAATTCATCATGAAACCGGCCCTTAGGTCGACACAAAGCATTGCACTTTTTTTTGAATAAAGGGATAGTGGTCTTAACAAAACCAAATACAGACGCAAAAGTAAATGAAGTGGTCAATGAGAAATGTACTAGTTTTCACTGCACGACTTGTAATTGATGTTTAAAAATATTTTCCAAAAACAAATTTATCTAAATTATGCCTTCATTCTGAACTACATGTTTTGGTATTAAAAATTGTTTTATAATAGATAAGGAAGGGCCTTGGATGATTTATCACAT